CGCCTCCGCTTCCTGCGGCAGGAATCGATCGCCTCGGGCGTCAGGATATCCGCAGGCGGCTGGAACTCGCGCACCTCCATCTTGGGGATGGGGTGGCCGAACGCCAGGCGGACACGGCCCTTGCGATGCGGCGAGAGCGCGGCATCGCGCAGATGTGGCTTTGCGTAGAACGAGGTGAAGGGTTTATCGGGAGGGGGAGGGGTTGCTGGTTTTGCGACAGCAGGAGTGGACGCGGGAGCGTCCGGCGCGGTGGAGGACTTGGCGGTGCCAGAGGATTTGCGGCGTCGTGGCGGCTCTGTCGATGGTTTGGGTCGTTTGCCGGCCGTCGCGGAGCGGGCTTCCTGCTGGAGTTGGTATGCAGCCCAGGCGTCCACGTCGCTTGGGTCCGGGGGCTCGCCATCGCTTTCTACGTCGGAGATGGCAGCGCCGTTGGGGGTAGTCTCTGGGGTGCGATCGCTGAGTTTGCGCTTCTGGGAGGCGGTGCGGTCTCTGCTCGTGGGGGCCGTGGATGGCGATATCTCGGCACGGAGCGAGGTCCTCTCCTTGTCGAGCTTCCGGCGTTTCTCTTCTTCTTTCCAGATCTGGAATTTCTCGATCAGGCTTGCGATCTCTTTCATGAAATAGTCGCGTTTGGGTTCGTAGAGCTTCTTCTCGTGCTCGTGCACACCGGTAATGCCCATCACACGGAGCCAGTCGTGACCTTTCAGCTCGTCTAATAGACGCTCCAGCTGCATCTTCTCATGCTGGGCGCGTTCGCGCTCGATGTTTCGGAGCTGTTTCTCCTGCCGCTCCATTCTCCGGTGGGCGCGGAAATAGTATCCTTCATTGAGAGGGTCTTCCTCTTTGGCATCTCCGGGCGCAGCGTCTGAACTCGGCTCCGGCTCCGGCAGAGATATCTTTTTGCAGTCATGGAGCTGCAACAGAGGGTTTCCAAACGGGGACTCGGAGTCGGGGGTAGAGGATTCTATGGTGGTAAGAGGTTCGGCCAGGTCGTCAATCAGCTTGATTGTGGTGTCCTCGGTCAGTAGTTCCGCGGTCTTCGGAGGGTCCAAACTCAGAATTTGTTCATAGTTCCAGAAATACGATGCCAGTTCGCTCCGCAGCCGCGAATTGCTGTCCTTGGAACGAAGCGACCGGCGCTGTTCCGGTGCGGCTGGACTGGCATCGGCGGGTTCCTGCTTAGGCTGCGATTGCGCTTCCGTCTGAGGATTGGCCAAGTTGGGTTTCCGCCGACTGCTCGTCTGTCCGAGTGGCTTCTGCGCATCCACGTCTGATGCGACAGATTGCTGCGGACGAGAACGGCGTGTAGAACGGGTGGTAGAGATCGGAGTGGACGTAGTGGGTGTTTTGCGAGGCTTCGGGTTGGTCTTGGTAGGGCCAGGAGAGATGATATCTAAGGGATCTGGCGATTCGCGACCGCCACCACGCATATACAGCGCGGCAGAAGCCGACAACGGAGTGCGATGGTGATCATGGGATTGTCCCGTAGTGTGCGGGGTGCCGGGGATCGGAACAGGAGCGGGGTTGGACGACGAGGAGGACGATGAGGAGGATGCGCTGTCGCCGGCAGTTGAGAGAGGAGGTGGCTGGCGCGTAGATGAGCGCGGCGGCGGAGGGAGAGGAGAGTGACCAGTCTGTCGCAGGATCTGAGGAGTTTTGGATGATGGTGGGACACGATGACTGGAATTTTCGACAGTAGTGTCAAGTAAGTCGGGAGAGCTCTTGCGACGACGGGACGAAGGTGGCTGACGACGTTGCTGTTGCTGTTGCTGCTGAAGCCGAGGCCTCTTCGCAGGAGGAGGAGAAGACGGCAGAGTGTCGTCGTGGTTGTCCTGATGCTCGTCATCATGACCAGAGGCGTTGTCATCCCGTCGCACTGAGAAGCGCAGGGACGACCTCGATCGGACGGCCATGATGATCTAGTTGCAGCAGCGGTAGAGGACTCGTCATTCGATGAGTTGGACTCGACATGCAATAATGTGATGATGCTGATGGTGGACGAGATTCGATATGGGATGAAACTGAAGAGGAGGGTATATATAGGGACATGCTGTAAGAACTTATGTGATTGTGTCTCAGTTCATCTTGTGTTGCTCAATTGACTGACTCTATTGCCATTGCATCTGGAGATGAAAGGTGAATCGAACCTATTCTTCTGCTTCGTCGCCCTGTGCTTGTCGCCTTCGCGTTCTTTTTTTTTTCGCGGTCGCCATTAATTACAGGGATGTGGTATGGCTCAATACAGTATTTGTGGAATAGGAGCTCAGAGGGTGAAGGGAAAAGGTGTATTATTGTGTCAGCAGAATACAGGATTGTCCTCATTCCTCCATCACTATTGTCATCCCCAGTGACTATGCATATTAGAGAACAATAAAGCCCGGTATATTCGAATCAGGATCTTCAGATAAATGAGAATATTAGATGCCATTGTCAGTAGTGATCCTCCATAAAGAAAATTGTAGTTGATAGCAATAAAGACACTTCCCAACGCGGTCATCTCGAAATGCGGGGATATGCACAAAAAAGTACACAATAAGTAGTCACGGGCATATTGAGCTTGGATGGAGACAACGCATACTAGAAGCTAACAAACCCTGACTGACAATCTCGCAGGTCGATGAAAGGCATACGATAGAGTATTCGAGGTCGGTTTATATCAGATGATCATCCAACACAGCAACACACAGACTCTTCTTGCGTTCTGGCAGTTGCAAGTTACATATGTCCCCCACCCCCACACAACGAGGGGAAGATGAGCGATTCATTCTCATCCTTGTAGAGTTGATGCCTCAAGCTCGAAGATGGCGCTGTAGGGGTTTATTCGGAGTTCTTACCGACCAGAGAGATCGTTGTACTTCTTGAGAGGTAGTACGAGACGTATTCGCCTACTGGATACAAAGTCCTGTTGCTGCTGCTACTCTGTTCACTGTTGGAGATATTTCCCCACCTTCACAGGCTACAAATGATGACCCCGGATCGAGGAGTACGTGGGGGTCACGGCCTCATTCGTAGAAGTTATCTAATGTTCTTTCGATTCCATACTACATTGAAAGGATGATCCAAAGATGCATCATTTCCTAGCAAATAGTAGTACTGCATCTTCTCCAAGTCCTCGTGGGTTACATAGAATCGAGCTGCCGCATCAGTTTCGACGCATGCTCCAATGTCATCAGATGCAACTCCACCACCAATAATATCAATAAGTGTTACAATCCCTCTCTGATCGTCTCCCAAGTCTCGCCCACGTATTCTTGATTCCAAGTCCTGACAGGCCTCATTCTGTGGGGTCCACGACGTGGGGGTTTTCCAATGTCCACTCTTTTCCACTTGCCGAATTGTCTGGAGACGGCCTTTGAACTTAATGCGATCAATCTTCATCATCGCATCAATTCGGGTCGGCATTGGAACCACATTCCCATTCCTTAATCATGGCAGGCATCCCACCATCTCTGTCCTCTTTAACTAACCCTTTCCTCCCTTTTTGTATTGTTTTCGATCCCTATTAATCCTCCAATTTGAGGTCTTCTCCCTGGTAACACTGTTCCAAGCAGGACTACCCTTGAGATTATTTGCTCACGACCACCACAGAACACACCACTCGTATAAACCAACAGACGAAATGACCACAAACGGAACAACAACAAGGCCGCGCCCTCTCGTCCCCGGCATCTACGTGCCAACGGTCGCCTTCTTCAAGGACGACGAGGAGGTCGATCTCCCTACCGTCGAGAAACACGCCGCCTACCTCGCTAACGCTGGTGTCACCGGCCTCGTCGTCCAAGGCAGCAACGGCGAAGCCGTCCATCTCGACCGCGATGAACGCAAACTCATTACAGCAGCCACTCGCCGCGCCCTCGATGCCGTAGGAGCCACGTCCATGCCCCTCATCGTCGGCTGCGGCGCATCCTCCACTCGCGAAACCATCCAGCTCTGCAAGGACGCCGCCGACGCCGGAGGAGACTACGTCCTCGTCCTGCCCCCCTGCTACTACAAGTCCCTCGTGAGCAACGCCGCCCTCCTCGACTACTTCCGCGACGTCGCCTCCGCCTCTCCAATCCCCCTCCTCATCTACAACTTCCCCGGCGCCTCCTCCGGCCTCGACCTCACCTCCGACGACATCCTGACCCTCGCCAAACACCCCAACATCGTCGGCGTCAAGCTCACCTGCGGCAACACGGGCAAACTCGCCCGCATCGCCGCCCAGGCCAAACCCGACTTCCTGACCTTCGGCGGCTCCGCCGACTTCACCCTCCAGACCCTCATCGCCGGCGGGGCGGGTATCATCGGCGGCGTGGCGAATCTGATTCCGCGCTCGTGCGTGCGCCTCATGGAGCTCTACCAGAGCGGGAAGATAGCGGAGGCGCAGACGCTGCAGGCGGTCGTCGCGCGCGCGGACTGGCTGGCTATCAAGGGCGGGTTTGTTGCGGTCAAGAGCGCCCTGCAGTCGTATCGCGGATACGGCGCGCTGCCGCGGCGGCCGTGTGTGGCGCCTTCGGCGGAGGAGGCGTCCGCACTGAAGCATGCATTCCAGGAGGGGATGGAGATGGAGCGGAATTTCGAGGTTGCGTAATTATGCATGAGTTTATGATGTGTAGCATTTTTTACTATTCTGTGTTGTGAATGAAAACATGGCCGATGGCCGCAATCAGCATAGCATGTTTTGAGTTTGCCATGCTGAACTATTGACTCCGTACCCAACGTCAATTCCACGCTCAAAGTTTGCTCTTCGGGGACATACAGCCCAGATCTAATTGCATCATTGACAAGATCTTCTATTTCGATATGGGGCATGATTGATCCCGAACGATGTACTTTGCGGACTGACCAATCCCATTTCTCCACCATCATTTGCGCGGTTTTCGCCGTTTTTAGCCTTCGGATGTTTGCCTCCCGGAGGACTATCTACAATATACCTACCTCTTCCTCAACCCATAAACTACGCATCAATGTGTCCTTCCAGCTGTCTAAGAGAAGATCAAATATACTAGACTAAAAGCATCATGCTCCGCGTATCGTCACCCTTCACTTCTCGCCTTAGTGTCCGCCAGCTACTTTTCTCAAGGAGATCCTTAACCCAATTTCACCGACTCTACACTTCCCAACCTCAACCCCAGCATCAGCATACAAAATGCTGTTCGAAGAACGAGAAGGAGAAGGAGAATGAGACTCAAAACTCTGTCCTCACACTATCCTTCTGGTCATCTAAAACAGGTTGGAAGCGCGCAGCTATCAACACCCTGCGCTGTCTGGCGGGCTGCACACTAGGTGATTTCTCGGCGCTGTGGGTGCTCCAAAGTTTCTATGCGCATTGGGGGATGGGTGCTATTATGGGTGTTTCTAGTATGTTCATCCCTAATCGTGGACCTCAGGGCTCGACGAGATGACTGACGTTGTGCCAGTGGCGAGTGGAATCACCACGTCAATTCTTCTGGAGACTATCCTCCTCCGACGGGGAGCGGACAAACTCCCCTGGGGACTAGCATTTCGAACTGCGACGGGTATGAGTCTCGTCTCCATGTTGGCCATGGAGACGGTGCAGAATCTGGTGGATTTCCATCTCACCGGAGGTGCGGTGCTGCTGGACGATCCGCGGTTTTGGGCGGCTGCGCTGGTGTCGATGGGTGCTGGGTTTTTGGCCCCAATGCCGTATAATTATTGGCGGTTGGTCAGGCATGGGCAGAGTTGTCATTGACTTTTCTGAGAATGAAGTGGTTGCTTGTATGTAAGATAGAGTAAATTGTATTAGTATCGGACTGAATATACTCAACTTCCAGCTGTGTCTGATAACGCTTTTGCGAAAGCCACTCTAATCTGGCCAGAAGCAGACTTGAGCTTGAAGCACACGAACTTTGTCCCAAAGAAGATTGCATTCAGAGAGAAGGACTGGCCATGGGTGCTGGAACCATGGTATTTGCTTACGAACGGGAGGGCCCGCCGTTCCATCTTTGACAAGAGCCCACAGCAATGACGTCGGTTGTGCAAATATGTTCTTGTAGTTCGCATTCGATCACAGAAGTCTGTCTGATGCCGAAAATGGGGCCCTTCCTGGAGGTTAGCGACAATATAGGTAGGTCAGTGCGGAAATTGCAAGAAGAGCAATTATTTCCTTGAAGTAGCAATTGCTGGCGATCAAACCTAATGACGCCATACGAGCCTTTGGCCGAAGAGATCGCGTGAAGTGTGTCGAGAAGATTCCAAACTCTTGACAAGTCAAGTCCAAGAGACCACGAAATGTTATCTTCGATTTTGTGCATCTAAGCGATGTCACTGTGACAGCTTAGCAGGTGCAATCTCCGAAGCCCTTTTGGTCGCATTGTTATCGGTGGCTAGTTCCCTCCACCTTGTCAACTTGTCCACTTGATCATCCAGTTTGTGCGGGGAGATGACCGTTTATCTGCAGATACGAGCTGTAGCAAGGTATCATCACAGGAACGAAGCCGAGAAAGCTGCACTGCACTGACCATATCGCGTGGTATCTGCCGATCAGAACAGACCTCGAAGATTGGAGAAACCTTGGATAAATGAAGGACAATCCAGGTTGCAGCGCGGGGACGAAGGCGGATGTAACCCTCGGAACCAGCGATGAAACCAAAGCATTCTTGGATCGCGGGTAGAGTCCCAAACAATTCAAGGCGCGGTGTTGACCTTTTTGCCAATAACCATGATCATTGTCACAAGAACTAATGAGAGAAAGCGAGTGGGCCGTGATTGGCGTCCACCCCCCAGATTCTGAAGCATAGACTAACCATCGCCAGAGAACCTGTACGTTCTGGACAAACTAGCGTTGATGATGCCTTCCGGAGATTGGCGGATGGACGGACCTTGAGCTGTAGCTTCCCATTCTGATTGCATTCTGATTGCTTGTTCGACGCGTGTTGGCAGAACGAAAGATGCGAAGATGGACTGGAATGCAGGAGATTATTGGTGTCGATCAGCGCGCTCGAAGGATCTACCCTGCAAGGCTATAATTTAAATACAGGCCTCCTCCCCTGGTTTCTGATGTCTTTTCCACTCAAACCCCCTCTCCTACACATATCCCTCAGACGAAACCTCTTCAATGCCTGTGGTGTTGGATTGGTTATTGTGATCATGCTCATCTCCAGCATCTGCGCCGTAGTCCTTACGGTCGCCTCATCGGTCGCCGCCGTCAGCGTCAATCCTCTGCCAGCTCCGCGCACTATCACTTGGGGGTCATCGGGGCCCAAACGCATTGCTGGCCAACTCACTCTGCGCACAGCCCGTGGTTCCAACAGCGAGGTCATCTTGCAAGGATGGGATCGCGCCTGGAAGACGATTGTCTCGCTTCAATGGGTTCCCGCTGCAACTGAAGCGCCCATCTCCTCCTTCCAGCCTTTCCCAACAGCTACACCTTCCGAATCCGCGAAGAGCAAACGTGCCTCGTCCCCGCTACAATTCGTCAATGTGAAGGTTGACGATCTCGAAGCCGATCTCCAGCACGGTGTGGACGAATCTTACACCCTGGATGTGAAGGAAGGCTCCGACACCATTCAAATCACCGCCAAAACCGTTTGGGGTGCTCTGCATGCGTTTAGCACCCTTCAACAGATCGTCATCTCGGATAGAAGGGGTGGACTACTCATCGAGCAGCCCGTCAGTATTCAAGATGCGCCTCTCTATCCTTATCGCGGCATCATGATCGATACTGGTCGCAACTTCATCTCCGTGAAGAAGATCCTGGAGCAGTTGGACGCCATGTCATTGTCCAAGCTCAATGTCCTGCACTGGCACTTGGATGACACGCAGTCCTGGCCTGTACATATCAACGCACATCCGGAGATGGTTAAAGATGCATACTCGGCGCGGGAGACTTACTCGCACGCTGACCTCCGCCGAATCATTGCCTATGCCCGTGCCCGAGGTATCCGTGTCATCCCAGAAATCGATATGCCTAGCCATTCGTCGTCTGGCTGGAAGCAGGCAGACCCGGAGATGGTGACTTGCGCCGATTCCTGGTGGTCCAACGACGTCTGGCAATATCACACTGCTGTTCAACCCAACCCGGGCCAGTTGGACATCATCTACGACAAGACGTACGACATCGTTCGGGATGTTTACAATGAGCTGTCGGATGTCTTTACCGATGACTGGTTCCACGTCGGAGCTGACGAGATTCAACCCAATTGCTTCAATTTCAGTAGCTATGTCCGAGAATGGTTCGAAGAAGATCCCTCGCGCACCTACAACGATCTGTCTCAGTACTGGGTGGATCATGCAGTTCCCATCTTCCGCAACGTCAGCGAGAAGCGCCGTCTGATCATGTGGGAGGATATTGTTCTCTCTCCGGAGCACGCTCACGACGTGCCCAAGGACATTGTCATGCAGACCTGGAACAACGGGCTCCAATACATTCAGAACCTGACGGCCCGGGGCTACGATGTCATAGTATCGTCGGCAGACTTTTTCTATCTTGACTGCGGCTCTGGCGGATACGTCACCAATGACCCCAGGTACGACGTCATGAGCAATCCGGATCCCAACACCCCCAACTTCAACTATGGCGGCATCGGAGGCTCGTGGTGCGCTCCTTACAAGACATGGCAGCGGATCTACGACTACGACTTCACGCAAGGTCTGACCGATGCTCAAGCCAAGCACGTCATCGGTGCGACCGCGCCTCTCTGGAGCGAGCAGGTGGATGATGTGACTGTGTCGAGCAAGTTCTGGCCGCGCGCCGCAGCCCTGGCGGAACTGGTCTGGTCTGGCAATCGCGATGCGAATGGGAAGAAGCGGACTACGCTCATGACGCAGCGTATCCTCAACTTCCGAGAGTACTTGCTGGCGAACGGCGTTCAGGCCGGCAACCTGGTGCCGAAGTACTGTCTTCAGCACCCCCACGCGTGCGATTTATATTATAACCAGAGTGCTGTCGTGTAGTTCGTGTCAACTCATGTTTTTTATTAGCGACAGCTGCTGTTAACCCATGTACATACTAACAACCGCGCTGTCGACTGCTCTAGTCCTGCTTGATCAGGATACTGAACGTAATTTGATTAAGTCTATGAATGATGTCCTGCGCCGATGAATAAAGCTTCAACGAATATATCTTGAGTTCTAAAGTAGCATAGATGCCATATATGTTGGCCTCCTTGCGCACGCCAGAGAAGTTATGGACTTGTTCATGTCCACAGGTTTTGAGCAGTCTAAACCCTAGACATCATCATAGTGTCCCAGTATAGTAGTGCAATCTCTTTCCCCTTAGGTAGTTCGTGCAGTTCGACCATGTATGGCGTTTTCATCGGTCGATCAGTCCATCTCACGCAACGCAAACACAACCTGCGCAAAAAAGTACATCAGCAATCAGGTTTGCATCGTGAGGAATCGACCAAAACAAGATGAAAGCACCAGAATACAGCAGCATATGCCTTTGTTCTCCTGCTCGACTTAGGCCTGGTAGGCTATGAGTTTGATAAGCAGACTCAACTGGTTTCTCAGTTGGAAGAATGATTCAAGCTAAGTTGTAGATTGTAAGATGCGAGGCACAGCTCATGGATCTTCTAGGCTATCCACGGAGGTGGCTACCGGTACTATGCTGTCTACTCTTAAGATCATCGTTATCATGCTCAGAACCTGCTTAGAGAATGGTATGGCGGCTTTACTAGGCGCTCTCTTAGGGGCTGTTTGTCAAGCTCTACATCATCAATAAAGCATGGCTCTCCTCTCTACGGTATGTCTAGTTGATGAGAGCGTAGAAACCATTATCTGCTATAGTGAACCACGATTGGATGTAATCCATTTGTTTTAATGATCCCCGACGCCTCTGGGCGCAGACTCTCTCTAACTCCTATCTAGGTAGATAGCCAGCMTCCTCTCCAGGACGATTGGTTCATACTATTTTGGCCCTACTTTGGTGGGTTCCAGGTTGGTCAACAGGGGACTGAGATTGGGGTGCTCATTGGTGGTTAGCTTGCGGCAGTGTCTGCTCCTTGCATGGCAAGGCTGTCTGTTCCTCTCTTGAATCCATGGTTTGGTTGGTGATTGAGTTTGCCATGGCTTGGTATTAATATTAATTAGACCTGATGCGCAGGACAGTGGCAGGAAGTATTACCTGCTACCTGCCGTGCCTTAGGCAGTTCGTTGGCCGTCGCTCGAACCATTCATATCGCGGCCCTGAGGCTCTCGCTCATTGCGACAGACGGTCTGGTCTGCTTTGTCGTTCCGGAGTCTCCGAAGGATGGTGGTTCGTCTGCATGGGTTGTAAATGAGCGAGTGTGGGTCACCCACCAATGGAGGCGAATGCTCCGTCCGGGGTCGTCGTAGGGCTGACAGGCTTACTCCTTGGTAGCAAACGCCAGTAACTGAATTCTCTGACATGGTGATATGACATTTCTCGATCGCATACGGGTGTATATGCATGTGGTGAGGGGAGTAATATTCCGCGGCTAGATCGACTTTTTTCTCCTGCGTCAGAGTGACCACTGGCTATGGACTGTCTACTCTGTACAGAATTTTGGTTATGACTGAAATCTCGAGTCCAATGTTACACTGCATGAGCCACATCCTGGCAAACCAACAGAAAGAGTCACGAGGGAGTCTGTTGGAATATCGAATAGATACGCAGGTATCGAATACCTGAGGCCAATTACCTCTACCCCACCGTGGAATTTATCTCCATAGTTCCCAGGAGGTGTCAAATCCGTGAGCCTGCCGCAGTATCAATAAGCTCTATGCACT